CGAAGGCTTGGCTTCGCCACTATTTTAGATAGGTTATTCAACATGATTTTAGCCATTTGATTTTTCAGAAAGTTTGTTATATCTTCCACAAAAAAAAGAGATGGAATGGATCATATGGGTTTTGTTATTGTATCAAATTGGAACACAGATGAAATTGTTTCAATAACGAATGAATAATGAAATTACGTGTTGCTCTTTCTCTGTGCACGGTCCTTGAGAAAAGCCTCATCTGGACCTGTGCATTTTCACAGCTCGAAAGAAACCGCTTTTTCAAGGAACAGCTAGATTTAATTTAATCAGAAATATCCGATTTCCTTCAATCTGTTTACGTCTGAAATGTTAATACAATAAGCAGCATGACTTCGACTTTAATATCTGATTAGCTGCTTGGTTAAATGCTATTATTTTTCCATCCGTGATTTGGGTTTTTCTGGGTTTTTTCTCTCTGCTGTTCGTCCCTTCAAAATAAGTCAAAATAGGCAGGTTTCGTCTGTGTCTGTTTGTTCTTTCGTTCGTCCACCAACAACTCTGAGAACAAGTTTTTTTCTAAGAGAAATAACGGTTACCTCTGTGGCGCAATTGGGTGCGAAAACCATCTGTTATTTCAAAGAGCGAGGTTCCAATACGAGGTAGACGAAAGTAATCTGTATCGTCCCCACGAGAATTTCTCCTCTCAAAACGTTGTTCTGAAAGGGGGGGGGGGGGTGGATAAGTTCTAAACGTCTGAGATTTACCACTTTTGTGTTTACTTGTCCTTTTAACAAAGACCAATCCTTCCCCCCCCCCCCCCAACAAAGAAGGTTCACGTTGTTCCTATTTTCCTGGAAATTTGATTTTGGCTTTTTGTAAAAATGTAATCGTATGGGAAGACTCACTAGATACAGTTGCCAGAAATGCTTTGGTCAACATTGTTTCCTAAAGGTTTGGCCACTAACATTTCCTTAGTTGTGTAATAATATCACTTTTCGTCTATAGGTAAATGTCATCGTCACTAAGTGGCGGTGCTCCCCCCCCCCCTCTCTCTCTCTCTCTCTCTCTCTCTCTCTCTCTCTCTCTCTCTCTCTATATATATATATATATATATATATATATATATATATATATATATATATATCTCTTTCTATCTCTTTCTATCTCTTTCTATCTATCTATCTATCTATCTATCTATCTATCTATCTATCTATCTATCTATCTATCTATCTATCTATCTATCTATCTATCTATCTATCATACCGCTTCCCCTTCCCCTCTCTCCATCTAATTCTCTTTTTCTCTCTTCTTTAAATGACTGTCGTCAGAACCTTTGTGGGGGCGAAATACTCGAGGCACCCAATTCAATATAACTGAACGATGTCAGCACATTCTAAAATGAGTATCACCACATTTTCCTCGACATCCCTTTCTCCTTTTGTTGGCCGTGGCGCGCGGTATTCAACCCTTTGGGGAAGGACTGGAAGCAAGTCGTCCGGATTTACATGTTGAAAATCGGAATCGTACACGTTGGTGGGTCAGAAAGTACCCTCATGACCCTGGCAGAATTTGCATTCTAGATCTTGAGCAAATATCCACAAAATAAGTTTGCAATGATTACTCAGGTCGGAAACTCGGTCTCAAGTCTGGCATGGCTCGTCTTTCAAGGGTGCTATGCAGTGCCATCGACCGCATGATTTCAAGTACATCAACTCAGACAACTCTGGCAGATTATGTTTTCCACGCTCTACCCTTCCTCTTTCCCTTCTCATCATGTTCGTTATTTACACGTCTCAGCATAATAACCTGTATCCCCCATGCTCCCTTTCCATGGTCCTCCCCTCCCCTCCCCCTCTCGTCGACCCTCATATTCTTCCAACGTTTTCCTCCAAGGAATCCACCCTCCTTTCATCCTGATATCATCTTCCCTTATCCATCTTAACATTTAACCCCCCCCCCCCCTTCCAGGCCATCTCTTCACATACATGTACATGGACACTCACACACTACACACACAGACACATGCATGCACGATCTCTCTCTCTCTCTCTCTCTCTCTCTCTCTCTCTCTCTCTCTCTCTCTCTCTCTCTCTCTCACACACACACACACACACACACACACACACACACACACACACACTCCCACATACACACACAGTTTCTTCTCATGATCCTCCATTACTTTCCTTTATTCAAAAGCACGAAATGTAAACTTGTGGAGGATGAAGTGAGAGGTCCGTCTAAGCTGGCAAGGCTGTAACCCAAGCTTGCTGTTTGCGCTGCGGCCTATTTGGATTAGCGAGAAGATATTCTTTTCTTTTCTCTGGAAAAATCTCGGATTTCTTTAGGGCTTGTTTTCAAATTATTGAATAGAAGTGTGGAAGAAAACTATAAGACAATTATAACATTGCATATGGATCATGAGTAGGAGACTGATTCATAATCACTGCAAGGAAGCATGGTTCAGAGTACATGCCACTGTATCCAAACATCTTCTTTCAGGGAGTAAAGTGCTGCTTAACAAATTACA